GAGACAGTGGCAAACACATGAGACACATTGGTAGAAACATGAGACACAGTGGTAGACACATGAGACACAGTTGTAGACACATGAGACACAGTGGTAGACACATGAGACACAGTGGTAGACACATGAGACACAGTGGTAGACACATGAGACACAGTGGTAGACACATGAGACACAGTGGTAGACACATGAGACACAGTGGTAGACACACGAGACACAGTGGTAGACACATGATACACAGTGGTAGACACATGAGACACAGTGGTAGACACATGAGACACAGTGGTAGACACATGAGACACAGTGGTAGACACATGAGACACAGTGGTAGACACATGAGACAACTGAGACACAGTGGTAGACACATGATACACAGTGGTAGACACATGAGACACAGTGGTAGACACATGAGACACAGTGGTAGACACATGAGACACTAGACACATGAGACACAGTGGTAGACACATGATACACAGTGGTAGACACATGAGACACAGTGGTAGACACATGAGACACAGTGGTAGACACATGAGACACAGTGGTAGACACATGAGACAACTGAGAAGTTAGGGCGTGTAGGGGAGTAAACATTGATAGAGATGGCGTAGTGGCCACATATCAACTGCTGGCCAAAATAATTCCTTGGTTTGGACTGAAATCTCTTCAAATTGTTCACGCCAATCATCTACATACATTATACATCTTTTCATTCTTTACACACACACGAACCGACATATGTTATAGACTTTTTTTTCTTTTTTCCATTAAATATTCTAATCCATGTTTTCTCTAGGATCCACCCATCTCACCCCCCCCCCCCCCCAGCTGTGAATGCACGAGACCCAATGCACCGTCAGGCTCGGGGCTCGCCATCACAATAGAGATTTATGCCAGGTCACAGCCCGCCCCATCTCAAGTGCTTGCCGGGATGGCTGGCTCATACGCTGGGCTGTTTGGCAAGAAATGAGAGGACCAATTGAAAATCTGGCCACGTTGACAGGGCGCCAAGGGACACCTTAGAGGACCTGAACAGGACCAAAACACCTTACAGGACCTGAACACCTTAGAGGACCTGAACACCTTAAGGACCTGAACACCTTAGAGGACCTGAACACCTTAAGGACATGAACACCTTAGAGGACATTAACACCTTAACAGGATCAGAACACCTTAGAGGACCTGAACACCTTAGAGGACCTGAACACCTTAAGGACCAGAACACCTTACAGGACCTGAACACCTTAAGGACATGAACACCTTAGAGTACCTGAACACCTTAACAGGACCTGAACACCTTAGAGGACCTGAACACCTTAGAGGACCTGAACACTTTAAGGAACTGAACACCTTACAGGACCTGAACAACTTAGAGGACCTTAACAGGAACTGAACACCTTAGAGGACCTGAACACCTTAAGGACCTGAACACCTTAGAGGACCTTAACAGGACCTGAATACCTTACAGGAACTGAACACATTAGTGGACATGAACACCTTAAGGAACTGAACACCTTAGAGGACCTGAACACCTTACAGGACCTGAACACCTTACAGGACCTGAACACCTTAGAGGACCTGAACACTTTAAGGACCTGAACACCTTAGAGGACCTGAACATCTACAGTACCTTAACAACCTAGAGGACCTGAACACCTTTAGGACCAGAACACCTTAGAGGAACTGAACACCTTAAGGACCTGAAACCTTAGAGGACCTGAACACCTTCCAAGACCTGAACACCTTCCATGACCTGAACACCTTAGAGGACCAGAACACCTTAAGGAACTGAACACCTTAGTGGACATGAACACCTTAAGGACCTGTACACCTTACAGGACCTGAACACCTTACAGGACCTTAACACCTTAGAGGACCTGAACACCTTACAGGACCTGAACACCTTAGAGGACCTGAACACATTAATGACCTGAACACCTTAGAGGACCTGAACACCTTCCAGGACCTGAACAGGACCTGAACACCTTAGAGGACCTGAACACCTTAGAGGACCTGAACACATTAGAGGATCTGAACACCTTACAGGACCTGAACACCTTAGAGGACCTGAACACCTTAGAGGACATTAACACCTTAACAGGACCAGAACACCTTACAGGACCTAAACACCTTAGAGGACCTGAACACCTTAAGGACCAGAACACCTTACAGGACCTGAACACCTTAGAGGACCTGAACACCTTAACAGGACCTGAACACCTTAGAGGACCTGAACACCTTAGAGGACCTGAACACTTTAAGGAACTGAACACCTTACAGGACCTGAACAACTTAGAGGACCTTAACAGGAACTGAACACCTTAGAGGACCTGAACACCTTAAGGACCTGAACACCTTAGAGGACCTTAACAGGACCTGAATACCTTACAGGAACTGAACACATTAGTGGACATGAACACCTTAAGGAACTGAACACCTTAGAGGACCTGAACACCTTACAGGACCTGAACACCTTACAAGACCTGAACACCTTAGAGGACCTGAACACTTTAAGGACCTGAACACCTTAGAGGACCTGAACATCTACAGTACCTGAACAACCTAGAGGACCTGAACACCTTTAAGACCAGAACACCTTAGAGGAACTGAAAACCTAACAGGACCTGAACACCTTACAGGACCTGAACACCTTAAGGACCTGAAACCTTAGAGGACCTGAATACCTTCCAAGACCTGAACACCTTCCATGACCTGAACACCTTAGAGGACCAGAACACCTTAAGGAACTGAACACCTTAGTGGACATGAACACCTTAAGGACCTGTACACCTTACAGGACCTGAACACCTTACAGGACCTTAACACCTTAGAGGACCTGAACACCTTACAGGACCTGAACACCTTAGAGGACCTGAACACATTAATGACCTGAACACCTTAGAGGACCTGAACACCTTACAGGACCTGAACACCTTACAGGACCTTAACACCTTAGAGGACCTGAACACCTTCCAGGACCTGAACAGGACCTGAACACCTTAGAGGACCTGAACACCTTAGAGGACCTGAACACATTAGAGGACCTGAACACCTTACAGGACCTGAACACCTTAGAGGACCTGAACACCTTACAGGACCTGAACACCTTACAGGACCTGAACACCTTACAGGACCTAAACACCTTAGAGGACCTGAACACCTTACAGGACCTGAACACCTTACAGGACCTGAACACCTTAGAGGACCTGAACACTTTAAGGAACTGAACACCTTACAGGACCTGAACAACTTAGAGGACCTTAACAGGAACTGAACACCTTAGAGGACCTTAACAGGACCTGAATACCTTACAGGAACTGAACACATTAGTGGACATGAACACCTTAAGGAACTGAACACCTTAGAGGACCTGAACACCTTACAGGACCTGAACACCTTACAAGACCTGAACACCTTAGAGGACCTGAACACTTTAAGGACCTGAACACCTTAGAGGACCTGAACATCTACAGTACCTGAACAACCTAGAGGACCTGAACACCTTTAAGACCAGAACACCTTAGAGGAACTGAAAACCTAACAGGACCTGAACACCTTACAGGACCTGAACACCTTAAGGACCTGAAACCTTAGAGGACCTGAATACCTTCCAAGACCTGAACACCTTCCATGACCTGAACACCTTAGAGGACCAGAACACCTTAAGGAACTGAACACCTTAGTGGACATGAACACCTTAAGGACCTGTACACCTTACAGGACCTGAACACCTTACAGGACCTTAACACCTTAGAGGACCTGAACACCTTACAGGACCTGAACACCTTAGAGGACCTGAACACATTAATGACCTGAACACCTTAGAGGACCTGAACACCTTACAGGACCTGAACACCTTACAGGACCTTAACACCTTAGAGGACCTGAACACCTTCCAGGACCTGAACAGGACCTGAACACCTTAGAGGACCTGAACACCTTAGAGGACCTGAACACATTAGAGGACCTGAACACCTTACAGGACCTGAACACCTTAGAGGACCTGAACACCTTACAGGACCTGAACACCTTACAGGACCTGAACACCTTACAGGACCTAAACACCTTAGAGGACCTGAACACCTTACAGGACCTGAACACCTTACAGGACCTGAACACCTTAGAGGACCTGAACACCTTACAGGACCTAAACACCTTAGAGGACCAGAACACCTTAAGGAACTGAACACCTTAGTGGACATGAACACCTTAAGGACCTGTACACCTTACAGGACCTGAACACCTTACAGGACCTTAACACCTTAGAGGACCTGAACACCTTACAGGACCTGAACACCTTAAAGGACCTGAACACCTTAAGGACCTGAACACCTTAGAGGACCTGAACACATTAATGACCTGAACACCTTAGAGGACCTGAACACCTTCCAGGACCTGAACAGGACCTGAACACCTTAGAGGACCTGAACACCTTAGAGGACCTGAACACATTAGAGGACCTGAACACCTTACAGGACCTGAACACCTTAGAGGACCTGAACACCTTACAGGACCTGAACACCTTACAGAACCTGAACACCTTACAGGACCTAAACACCTTAGAGGACCTGAACACCTTACAGGACCTGAACACCTTACAGGACCTGAACACCTTAGAGGACCTGAACACCTTACAGGACCTAAACACCTTAGAGGAGCTGAAGACCTTACAGGACCTGAACACCTTACAGGACATGAACACCTTACAGGAACTGAACACCTTAGAGGACGTGAACACCTTAAGGATCTGAACACCATACAGGACCTGAATACAGCTCTGGTATAGACAGTAGCAGGTGTACTGCTCTGGTATAAGCATGAATTAATGCATTGTCAATTTTTTTCTATTTCCTGGTGTGTCCCCCCCCCCCCCCCCCCCCCCATCCCTTCTCAGTGTACCTGATTTAACATCCAAACTTTGACTGGTTCTGTTGCTCCGCTAGGTATAAAGGGAGCGAAGCAAGTCAAGAAATAAAAGTAAGGGGAGGTAAGACATTTAAACTGACCTGTTTGATGCTGGTGTCAAGTTGTCTCCCTGCACGTTAAAGGTCGTGTCCAAATGCCCTTCAGCATCCAGCAAATCTTCCAGAAAACCCAAGCCTGAAAAAGTCACAAGTCTCATGGGTCACCTCACCATAAAATTGGAAATATTTGATCAGTCTCATGGGTCACTTAACATAAAATTGGAAATATTTGACCAGTCTCATGGGTCACTTCAACATAAAATTAGAAATATTTGATCAGTCTCATGGGTCACCTCATCATAAAATTGGAAATATTTGATCAGTCTCATGGGTCACCTCATCATAAAATTGGAAATATTTGATCAGTCTCATGGGTCACCTCACCATAAAATTGGAAATATTTGACCAGTCTCATGGGTCACTTCAACATAAAATTGGAAATATTTGATCAGTCTCATGGGTCACCTCATCATAAAATTAGAAATATTTGACCAGTCTCGTGGGTCACCTCACAATAAAATTGGAAATATTTGACCAGTCTCATGGGTCACCTCACCATAAAATTGGAAATATTTGACCAGTCTCATGGGTCACCTCATCATAAAATTGGAAATATTTGACCAGTCTCATGGGTCACCTCACCATAAAATTGGAAATATTTGACCAGTCTCATGGGTCACCTCATCATAAAATTGGAAATGTTTGATCAGTCTCATGGGTCACCTCACCATAAAATTGGAAATATTTGACCAGTCTCATGGGTCACCTCATCATAAAATTGGAAATATTTGACCAGTCTCATGGGTCACCTCACCATAAAATTGGAAATATTTGACCAGTCTCATGGGTCACCTCACCATAAAATTGGAAATATTTGATCAGTCTCATGGGTCACTTAACATAAAATTGGAAATATTTGATCAGTCTCATGGGTCACCTCACCATAAAATTGGAAATATTTGACCAGTCTCATGGGTCACCTCACCATAAAATTGGAAATATTTGACCAGTCTCATGGGTCACCTCACCATAAAATTGGAAATATTTGACCAGTCTCATGGGTCACCTCACCATAAAATTGGAAATATTTGACCAGTCTCATGGGTCACCTCACCATAAAATTGGAAATGTTTGATCAGTCTCATGGGTCACCTCACCATAAAATTGGAAATATTTGACCAGTCTCATGGGTCACCTCACCATAAAATTGGAAATGTTTGATCAGTCTCATGGGTCACCTCACCATAAAATTGGAAATATTTGACCAATCTGATGGGTCACCTCACCATAAAATTGGAAATATTTGACCAGTCTCATGGGTCACCTCACCATAAAATTGGAAATATTTGACCAGTCTCATGGGTCACCTCACCATAAAATTGGAAATATTTGACCAGTCTCATGGGTCACCTCACCATAAAATTGGAAATATTTGACCAGTCTCATGGGTCACCTCACCATAAAATTGGAAATATTTGACCTGTCTCGTGGGTCACCTCACCATAAAATTGGAAATATTTGACCAGTCTCATGGGTCACCTCACCATAAAATTGGAAATATTTGACCAGTCTCATGGGTCACTTAACATAAAATTGGAAATATTTGATCAGTCTCATGGGTCACCTCACCATAAAATTGGAAATATTTGACCAGTCTCATGGGTCACCTCACCATAAAATTGGAAATATTTGACCAATCTCATGGGTCACCTCACCATAAAATTGGAAATATTTGACCAGTCTCATAGGTCACCTCATCATAAAATTGGAAATATTTGACCAGTCTCATGGGTCACTTAACATAAAATTGGAAATATTTGACCAGTCTCATGGGTCACCTCACCATAAAATTGGAAATATTTGACCAATCTGATGGGTCACCTCACCATAAAATTGGAAATATTTGACCAATCTCATGGGTCACCTCATCATAAAATTGGAAATATTTGACCAGTCTCATGGGTCACCTCACCATAAAATTGGAAATGTTTGATCAGTCTCATGGGTCACCTCACCATAAAATTGGAAATATTTGACCAATCTGATGGGTCACCTCACCATAAAATTGGAAATATTTGACCAGTCTCATGGGTCACCTCACCATAAAATTGGAAATATTTGACCAATCTCATGGGTCACCTCATCATAAAATTGGAAATATTTGATCAGTCTCATGGGTCACCTCACCATAAAACTGGAAATATTTGACCAGTCTCGGGGGTCACCTCATCATAAAACTGGAAATATTTGACCAGTCTCATGGGTCACCTCTACATAAAATTGGAAATATTTGACCAGTCTCATGGGTCACCTCATCATAAAATTGGAAATGTTTGATCAGTCTCATGGGTCACTTCAACATAAAATTAGAAATATTTGATCAGTCTCATGAGTCACCTCATCATAAAATTGGAAATGTTTGATCAGTCTCATGGGTCACCTCACCATAAAATTGGAAATATTTGACCAGTCTCATGGGTCACCTCATCATAAAATTGGAAATATTTGACCAGTCTCATGGGTCACCTCATCATAAAATTGGAAATATTTGATCAGTCTCATGGGTCACCTCATCATAAAATTGGAAATATTTGACCAGTCTCATGGGTCACCTCACCATAAAATTGGAAATATTTGACCAGTCTCATGGGTCACCTCACCATAAAATTGGAAATATTTGACCAGTCTCATGGGTCACCTCACCATAAAATTGGAAATATTTGACCAGTCTCATGGGTCACTTCAACATAAAATTGGAAATGTTTGATCAGTCTCATGGGTCACCTCACCATAAAATTGGAAATATTTGACCAGTCTCATGGGTCACCTCATCATAAAATTGGAAATATTTGATCAGTCTCATGAGTCACCTCATCATAAAATTGGAAATATTTGACCAGTCTCATGGGTCACCTCACCATAAAATTGGAAATATTTGACCAGTCTCATGGGTCACCTCACCATAAAATTGGAAATATTTGACCAGTCTCATGGGTCACCTCACAATAAAATTGGAAATATTTGACCAGTCTCATGGGTCACCTCATCATAAAATTGGAAATATTTGATCAGTCTCATGGGTCACTTAACATAAAATTGGAAATATTTGACCAGTCTCATGGGTCACCTCATCATAAAATTGGAAATATTTGACCAGTCTCATGGGTCACCTCAACATAAAATTGGAAATATTTGATCAGTCTCATGGGTCACCTCACCATAAAATTGGAAATATTTGACCAGCCTCATGGGTCACCTCCCCATAAAATTGGAAATATTTGACCAGTCTCATGGGTCACTTCAACATAAAATTGGAAATATTTGACCAGTCTCATGGGTCACCTCACCATAAAATTGGAAATATTTGACCAATCTGATGGGTCACCTCATCATAAAATTGGAAATATTTGACCAGTCTCATGGGTCACCTCACCATAAAATTGGAAATATTTGACCAGTCTCATGGGTCACTTCAACATATAATTGGAAATATTTGACCAGTCTCATGGGTCACCTCACCATAAAATTGGAAATATTTGACCAGTCTCATGGGTCACCTCATCATAAAATTGGAAATATTTGACCAGTCTCATGGGTCACCTCACCATAAAACTGGAAATATTTGACCAGTCTCATGGGTCACCTCTACATAAAATTGGAAATATTTGACCAGTCTCATGGGTCACCTCACCATAAAATTGGAAATATTTGACCAGTCTCATGGGTCACCTCACCATAAAATTGGAAATATTTGACCAGTCTCATGGGTCACCTCACCATAAAATTGGAAATATTTGACCAGTCTCATGGGTCACTTCAACATATAATTGGAAATATTTGACCAGTCTCATGGGTCACCTCACCATAAAATTGGAAATATTTGACCAATCTGATGGGTCACCTCACCATAAAAATGGAAATATTTGACCAGTCTCATGGGTCACTTCACCATAAAATTGGAAATATTTGACCAATCTCATGGGTCACCTCACCATAAAATTGGAAATATTTGACCAGTCTCATGGGTCACCTCATCATAAAATTGGAAATGTTTGATCAGTCTCATGGGTCACCTCAACATAAAATTGGAAATATTTGACCAGTCTCATGGGTCACCTCATCATAAAATTGGAAATATTTGATCAGTCTCAAGGGTCACTTAACATAAAATTGGAACATTTGATAAAAAGGAGGGGAAAAATGCAGATTGAAATATTTGTGTAAAAAAACTGAAATGGTATATATCCTCTGTCAAGTTCTGAGAAATCCCTTGACCTGAAGACGTTCGCCTTGACCCACTTAGAAAACTCATTAACTCAGATCAAACACTCCACTTTAAATACAATTTGTTTCAGTATCAATTTTAACTTAAAATGCTGAGTACTAACAATAGCTGAGGCAACTAACCTTTCTGAGGCTCCTGAGGCAGGGTGTAGGGTGTTGGCCTTGGCACCTGGTTCCGTGGTGCAGGTGTGTCCAGGTGTGACCCCTGCAGTTCTCTCACCTCACTCAGGTAACTCTGTCGGCCAGCCTCTGGGAGGGTTGGGCGCTGGCCAGCTGCTGCAGTGGTCCTCTCAGTGGCGTGGGATGGCACCCTGGTGGTAGCAACGTCAGACAAGCGGCCGTGTAAAGCTGTGTGGCCGTGTGAAGCTGTGTGGCCGTGTGATGTGTGATTGTGTGGGAGGTAGGACAAGAGTTTTCTCCCTGGAGAATTTTTTTGTCTGGAGATGTAAAGCAGCTGGGCCTGAGGATATAAGATGTCATAAGTCACACACATGTCATGAGCTACACACATGTCATGAGACACACACATGTCATGACCTACACACATGTCATGACCTACACACATGTCATGACCTACACACATGTCATGAGCTACACACATGTCATGAGACACACATGTTATGACCTACACACATGTCATGACCTACACACATGTCATGACCTACACACATGTCATGAGCTACACACATGTCATGAGACACACATGTCATGACCTACACACATGTCATGACCTACACACATGTCATGAGCTACACACATGTCATGAGACACACACATGTCATGACCTACACACATGTCATGACCTACACACATGTCATGACCTACACACATGTCATGAGCTACACACATGTCATGAGACACACATGTTATGACCTACACACATGTCATGACCTACACACATGTCATGACCTACACACATGTCATGAGCTACACACATGTCATGAGACACACATGTCATGACCTACACACATGTCATGACCTACACACATGTCATGAGCTACACACATGTCATGAGACACACATGTCATGACCTACACACATGTCATGACCTACACACATGTCATTAGCCACACATATGGCATGAGCTACAAACATCCTAAACACCCACCCACAACACAGACACCACCTAAACACCCCCACAGCACAGACACCACCTAAACACCCCCACACCACAGACACCACCTAAACACCCCCAGACCACAGACACCACCTAAACACCCCCACACCACAGACACCACCTAAACACCCCCAGACCACAGACACCACCTAAACACCCCCAGACCACAGACACCACCTAAACACCCACACACCACAGACACCACCTAAACACCCACACAGCACAGACACCACCTAAACACCCCCACAACACAGACACCACCTAAACACCCCCACAGCACAGACACCAACTAAACACCCCCACAGCACAGACACCACCTAAACACCCCCACAGCACAGACACCACCTAAACACCCCCACACCACAGACACCACCTAAACACCCACACACCACAGACACCACCTAAACACCCCCCACAGCACAGACACCACCTAAACACCCCCACACCACAGACACCACCTAAACACCCACACAGCACAGACACCACCAAAACACCCCCACACCACAGACACCACCTAAACACCACCACACCACAGACACCACCTAAACACCACCACACCACAGACACCACCTAAACACCCCCAGAGCACAGACACCACCTAAACACCCCCAGACCACAGACACCACCTAAACACCCCCAGACCACAGACCCCACCTAAACACCCCCACAGCACAGACCCCACCTAAACACCCCCACAGCACAGACACCACCTAAACACCCCCACAACACAGACACCACCTAAACACCCCCACAGCACAGACACCACCTAAACACCCCCACAGCACAGACACCAACTAAACACCCCCACATCACAGACACCACCTAAACACCCCCACAGCACAGACACCACCTAAACACCCCCACAACACAGACACCACCTAAACACCCCCAGACCACAGACACCACCTAAACACCCCCAGACCACAGACCCCACCTAAACACCCACACACCACAGACACCACCTAAACACTCACACAACACAGACACCACCTAAACACCCACACACCACAGACACCACCTAAACACCCACACACCACAGACACCACCTAAACACCCCCACACCACAGACACCACCTAAACACCCCCACACCACAGACACCACCTAAACACCCCCACAACACAGACACCACCTAAACACCCCCACAGCACAGACACCACCTAAACACCCCCACAGCACAGACACCAACTAAACACCCCCACATCACAGACACCAACTAAACACCCCCACAGCACAGACACCACCTAAACACCCACACAACACAGACACCTCCTAAACACCCCCACACCACAGACACCACCTAAACACCCCCACAGCACAGACCCCACCTAAACACCCCCACAGCACAGACACCACCTAAACACCCACACAGCACAGACACCTCCTAAACACCCCCACAGCACAGACACCTCCTAAACACCCCCACAGCACAGACCCCACCTAAACACCCCCACAGCACAGACACCACCTAAACACCCCCACAGCACAGACACCACCTAAACACCCCCACAGCACAGACACCACCTAAACACCCACACACCACAGACACCACCTAAACACCCACACAGCACAGACACCACCTAAACACCCCCACACCACAGACACCACCTAAACACCACCACACCACAGACACCACCTAAACACCACCACACAACAGACACCACCTAAACACCCCCCACAGCACAGACACCACCTAAACACCCACACACCACAGACACCACCTAAACACCCACACAGCACAGACACCTCCTAAACACCCCCACAGCACAGACACCTCCTAAACACCCCCACAGCACAGACACCACCTAAACACCCACACACCACAGACACCACCTAAACACCCACACAGCACAGACACCACCTAAACACCCCCACACCACAGACACCACCTAAACACCCCCAGACCACAGACACCACCTAAACACCCCCACACCACAGACACCACCTAAACACCACCACACCACAGACACCACCTAAACACCCCCACACCACAGACACCACCTAAACACCCCCACAGCACAGACACCACCTAAACACCCACACAACACAGACACCACCTAAACACCCCCACACCACAGACACCAACTAAACACCCCCACAGCACAGACCCCACCTAAACACCCCCACACCACAGACACCACCTAAACACCCCCACACTACAAGCACCACCTAAACACCCCCACAGCACAGACACCACCTAAACACCCACACAACACAGACACCACCTAAACACCCACACACCACAGACACCAACTAAACACCCCCACACCACAGACACCACCTAAACACCCCCACACCACAGACACCATCTAAACACCCCCACAGCACAGTGCCCACCTGCATCTGCAGCTGTTGTTGCTGCAAGTTTTCCAGGTGTTCCATCCTCCTCTCATTCAGCTCCGCCATTTGTTTCTCCAGCCAGTTGATCCGCTCCTCCGACTCAGAGTTTTTCCCCACCCCCACACTGGCCGTTTTCTTCTCAATGTCTGACAGCTGGCTCAGAAGTTGCTGCATCTTCAGGTCAAGGTCAAGCTGGATCTGGTGACAAGCATCAATGTCAAGGCAATATCTCAGTGACCTAGTTTTGACCAAGAGACACAGACCTTTAAGAAAACCTATTGACCTACAGACCTTTAAGAAAGCCTATTGACCTACAGACCTTTAAGAAAACCTATTGACCTACAGACCTTTAAGAAAGCCTATTGACCTACAGACCTTTAAGAAAACCTATTGACCTACAGACCTTTAAGAAAGCCTATTGACCTACAGACATTTAAGAAAGCCTATTGACCTACAGACCTTTAAGAAAGCCTATTGACCTACTGACCTTTAAGAAAACCTATTGACCTACTGACCTTTAAGAAAGCCTATTGACCTACAGACCTTTAAGAAAGCCTATTGACCTACAGACCTTTAAGAAAGCCTATTGACCTACAGACCTTTAAGAAAACCTATTGACCTACTGACCTTTAAGAAAACCTATTGACCTACTGACCATTCAGAAAACCTATTGACCTACTGACCTTTAAGAAAACCTATTGACCTACTGACCTTTAAGAAAACCTATTGACCTACTGACCTTTAAGAAAACCTATTGACCTACTGACCTTTAAGAAAACCTATTGACCTACTGACCTTTAAGAAAACCTATTGACCTACTGACCATTCAGAAAACCTATTGACCTACTGACCTTTAAGAAAACCTATTGACCTACTGACCTTTAAGAAAACCTATTGACCTACTGACCTTTAAGAAAACCTATTGACCTACTGACCTTTAAGAAAGCCTATTGACCTACTGACCTTTAAGAAAACCTATTGACCTACTGACCTTTAAGAAAACCTATTGACCTACTGACCTTTAAGAATGGCTGTGTGGCAGCCACAGCAGCAGACGCAGCAGCTGCTGCTGTTGCTGCAGTGTTGGCGTCTGTCACCACACTGGCTGTCTGGGTCACTTCCTGTCCAGCTGGCTCAGTCTTTCTTGGAATGATCTGTGTCTGAACAAATTTTTTCTGAGCTTTCTGAAATCCACACCTAGAGAGAAAAATTTGGTTCAAAGATAAGTTTTTAAAAGCTGCTGATGTATATAGCATGGGAGGCCTAGAATCACAAAACACTTGTGTCAACAAATTGTACTAAAATCTCTTTCATTTTGATTTCTTACACTTTTAAACAAAACAATTAGCTTTTATTTAGCAGATTATGTCTTAACTACAATGATCTGACCTTTTAGAGAGGGCATCTTTCAATTCCAGCTGTTTGTCTGTTAAGCCAAACTGTGATATAAAAACATCATCACATAGCTTGGTCTTGCAAGGGTTACCTGTCTCTGTACTCAGACCACCTTGCTGCAGTTGTTTTGGTTGGAAGCTCTAAAATAAAAAGAAAGCGCTGAATAAAATCTGACTAGGACAGGTCAATGTTTTCTTAATTAATGATGATATGCTCATGTAAACAAATAAAGAGATCTACATAAATAAATTCTTTGCTTCACAGAGAATTAAGAGAAATAAAATAAATAAATCACAAACAGGAACCAAGTAGCAAGTAGCAAGCTCTGTTATACACACGGAGAGTGACCTGGTGCTAGTTGCATTTAGTAAGTAAAAACAGCTGTATGGTGTAAAGAGGTGTATGGTGTAAAGAGGTGTATGGTGTAAAGAGGTGTATGGTGTAAAGAGGTGTATGGTGTAAAGAGGTGTATGGTGTAAAGAGGTGTATGGTGTAAAGATATGTATGGTGTAAAGAGGTGTATGGTGTAAAGAGGTGTACAGTGTAAAGAGGTGTATGGTGTATAGAGGTGTATGGTGTAAAGAGGTGTACGGTGTAAAGAGGCATATGGTGTAAAGAGGTGTATGGTGTAAAGAGATGGAAAGTTGCAGTTGTAACAATAAACATGAATGAAAAGAACATTATAAAGTTTTAACAATATACCTGAATATTCAGTATTACTTGTGACAAAGAGTCTTTATTTGAATGACAGAAATGTGCAGATAAACCTTAACTTGCCTATGTGTTTATAATTATGTTTAAATTTAAAAACTCACTCTTCCAACATTGTTATGACTGTATCCAAAATAAACATCCTGATTCTCATGTGCTCCGCTGCCTGGGTCTTCATCTGAACATAATTTATCACAAGTAACTGCATGGATGTCAATTATTTCAGGCTGGTCACTATGGCGACTATCCGCAACAGAGTGAAAACTTGTAATTTCATTCCCAGAACTTGAACTGCTTTCTGATTTATCATTATAATTGCAATGAGCTATAACAGTACCTTTGATGTGCTGTTTTTGACTGCTCTTAACTGGCAAGTGTTTAAGTTGTGCTGCAATGCTTGAGTTTGAATCATTCCTCTGTCCAACTTTTTCAGTACCAGTTGAATTTGTATCAACATTATTTAGATCTACTGGAATTACTTCTATAACAGTTACTTTCTCTTGGGAAGTTTTTTCCTTTGTTCCTGTGGCCTTTTTACTGCCAGCTGTTGTATTATCACTCAAGTCGGCCACTGTCTCTTTCAATCTCTCCTCTTGATCACAATCTCGAGACAATAATGACCTGGTACTTTCGGGAGAAGCAAATGGGCTTCCCACATCAAATAATCGCACAGCATTTGCAGTTTTGTTTGAATTTTTGTCTAAAGCTTTCACAGCATTGTTAGTCACTGACACCAATTCGGCAAGTGACATTTTAGTTTAGCGATGAGCATTTAAAATGTATTTCTTTTTAAAAATATTTTGCAGTTCTTTTTTTATTTACAGTTTGAAGGTTGTATGTTGATAATACTATACTTTAAACTACTCTACTTTAATTAAACGTATAGCTATAATGAAACTGTAGGCCTAAATTTAAAAAAATTTAAATTTGAATAAACCTATTTTTAAGGATTTTTTCCTAATTAAATTAACAAAAATAGGATTAATATTGTTATATTTGTATTAATTCGACAATGGAAGGAGAATAAAGCAAATCAAATAAACTAAAGTGTGGTATTAATTTCAGATGAGAATCAAACAAAACATGTCAGATCATATTTTCCTCCAAAGACGGCCATTTTGAAACAAATGTTCCTAAGGCAGGCACTCTTTTTTAAATATGAACAAAAAATATATTTCTAACAAAATCATTTTGCCAGTTTGCGTTAAAAAAAAATACAAACTCTTACTCACTATTTCAACTACATTGTGGTAACAAATTGAATGTTGAGTGTAATAATGTTAATCTAGTGTAATTAAAATTTAAGCTTACATTTTTTTTCAGAACTGACGAAACGGCAAGGAAGAAGGCAGTGTTTCTTTCAGGTCTATCCCGGAAGAGATTTAAAAAAAAAAAAAAAAATTTTAAATTTACGTCAACCACCCCACTCCCGAAGGTGTTTAAAGTGTGTTGCCCAACTCCCCGGAGAAAATTGAGAGAAAGAAACTCCGATTGTAGAGAAGAAGAGGGACGCTTAAGTGCCCCGTTCTAATGTGTCATGTCATCTATACTTTTATATTCTAGTGATTTTTTTTTAAAAATAGCATCCCTTTGTGCTATACAATGTATGAGTTTCAATATATGGAATGCAAGAATACGTAATCATCAAAAAAATTATTAAGTCAACCACTTTGCAATAGGGATCGGACTCATGTGACCAGGTTGTGGGCTGCTGACGGTGTTATACAACGGTTTACTTTTAGAATTTATAAGACATTTTGTAAACAGGGATTAAAATTATTATTATTCTAGTCTACATAATGGTGACCCTGCTCTATTATTATTTTTGAAAGAAATTTCTAGTTCAAAAACAAAACCATAATGTTATTGGGGGGGGGGGGGGAGGCTGAAAGGTGATGTCATTTAATGAATTTTTAGTGACGATTTGTGACCGCTAGGAGGTGAGAGAGTGAAAGTAGTTTTTTAATAGCGTGACATCATTATGGAGAACAATAAAAACATTTCCCCTTTTTAAAAATCCAAATTTGGATCCGTTTAAAGGGGCTGGCAGAGTTTCTTCCAGGCATCTATTCGGGGGGGGGGATTTTTTACCGCCCCCCCCCCCCCCGAACGAAATGAAATTCATATAATTTATATAGAAAATATATACTTTTAACAGTGTCCGCCCCCCCCCCCGAAGAAAGTCTACCGCCCCCCCCCCAAATTTCAAGTGCCCCCCCCCCCCGGAGAAACAAGTCTGGAAGAAACACTGGGGGCTGGCGTGTTCGGACCGTTGAAGTTCATGGGGGATAAACTGAAAAGTCTGGAGTTCCAACCCCCAGTCAGATGAGGCTGGGGACAGCAACCCATCTAGGGGAGATAAATCCAAAATCAAACAACCGCTGCCTTGTAATTTGTGCTTGAACGGACACAGGCTAGGGAAGCACATCCAGAAAGAAAAACAGGTTGAAATCGGAGCCATCAGGCTATATGACGCATAACATGTTGACATGTAATATATTATTAGGAATTTTTTTAATTGGAGGAAATCGCTCCCAACATACAATCAACAATGAAGAAGTGAACAAATATAAATGTGTGTGTGTATGTGTGTTACGATCAAAGCCCGAAGTCACCCAAAGCACGCATAGGCCGACATCACCTTCCACTGACTGGGCAAAGTACGAAATATTTCTTGACTTTGGCCAATGGCTGGCCAGTCTGCACTAACCATGGTCGACCGCTCAAAGTCTGAAATTGTTCTTGTCTTAAGGCATTTGTCATAAAGGGTGACCGGCCAAAGTCCGAATCTGAAGAGGAGGCTATCACATGCAGTGGCAATCCATATTTTGCTATTTTTGGACACTAACACAGGTGTGGATATTTTTCCTTGTCAGTCTGCCTCTTGGTTTGGCGGCCAGTGCGCCGGCCAAAGTACGAAATACGTTATCTGTGTTAAGCTCTTCGAACTTAAACCAAGAGAGCCGGTCAATGCGCACATTGGCCGGTCAATGCGTGCTTTGGTCGACTCGGGCCTGTGTGATTATCGTAAATCACGTGCAGTTTAGTTGAATACAGTGGACGGCGATTGGTATATAGCACAATAAAATATTAAAATAGCAGGACAGATCCGAGATAATTGAACACATCCCGTTCTAAGCTCATTTTTAAATAATATAAAAAAATATATCAATGATCAAGAATGTAGTAACTTTATATAGCCTTGAAGAATAGCAATTTTCATTTCTTCTTTGATTAACACTAGATTTAGATCTAGATCTAGATCTAGATCTATTACCTGGCTAGCTAATATGCTAGTTTTCGGTTAGCTTAGCCTTCTTGCATTGTTTAACTTTAAATAAACCTGTGCTAAAATAAAAATATTGGCAAAGGGCAATGCAGTCACTTTGTGGTATTACTCCTCGGTCATTAACAGCATTACGTAAAGTGTTTGCTAAACGCTTGATTCAGACGAGCAGCATTTTAAACATGCCAATTAAGGTATATAAATTATTAGTCCTAGTAATGATAAGTAATGTGCAGGAGAGGTAACTAACAACTGCCAACTGGTCTATCGGCTATCGTTAGTAATAGTACTAGAGGAGCTTACACTTTTCGGACACACATAGCGAAAAAACGCAACGTAAAAATTCCATGCGGTCTCATTCAGTAACCGCTTAACATAGAAAACAAAAAAAAGTATCATATCTATCCGCAACCATTCTACTTTAATAATGTGTGTGTCATTTTGTATTCATACGCATAGAACTTAAGCTATTCTTGTTATAGTGACTGGGGGGTCTTAACGTGTGTTCGAACACATGTAATACAGTTTTACATGTGTTCGGACACCTTTACCCGTCATCGGACATAGCACTTTTTGTTCATTTAGAATAATTTAAAGTCAATTTAATGAATAAAAACATATATTATATGCATTTATATTGTGTTATTGATTGTTTGTGAGGTAATTTTAATAGTATAAAACCTTTTTCCCACACTCCCAAAGTTCATCCCATTCAGCCATTGCGGCTCGCGCAGTACGTTGCTAAGCCAGCCAGGTCACATGATTCCCCCTCCTCTTTCGCATTCCACTGCCTTCTTGACCTTATTTTGACCCTTTCCCTTCAATAACCAGCCCCTTTTATGCTCTAAATTCTTATTTAATAATATTTTTGTGTTGCTGTCCGATCCCATGTAAGGTCAAAAAAGTTAGCGAACACCCCTTTTTTATTGTTCAAGCACAAAATAACCCATTAACCTTGACATTTACGATGTTCCATACATATATAGAAGCTATTTATAGTGTAACCTTTTAGCTAAGCGTTGATTGGTTCAAGTTTTGCCCCTAAGTCCAACCCTAGGTCACTTCATCCGGCTGGTGTAAAAATAGAAATGTGCGTACCATGCAACGTTAAAAAATTTCTAAAAATAATTCTTGAGAAAGGAAACGGAAGTACTTGACACGGAAGTGTTCATAAATGAACAGTTTACGTGCAGGCGCCGTGGTTTCGCGTGAGACATGCTAATTAAAGTTTCTATGAGCCAAAAACCGACGAAGTGTTCGGTCCTACGTAATTTTTGGTGTGTGTCCGAAAAGTGTAAACTCCTCTAGAGTAGATTTCCTAACGCGGTCACACGTAGCAAAAAAATCCGAAGTCCCGATTTTCATCGGGCGCTATTTTGTACCCGTTTCACACAGAAACAAACTGAAAGTACCGTGTTATTCCGCTGCCATTCTACTCTAATATTTATAAGTCATTTTGTATTCCTACGCATAGTATTTGAGATATTCATGTTTTAGTGACGTGCCTGCTTGCGATCTTTTTTTCCCCTTTTTTTCTTGCCGTCGGTCACATTTTCCTGTTGCGTAACAAGCGTAGTTTTTTACGTTTTGATCCAATTTTAATAGCTAAAATAAATAATTTACACCTTCAAACGTGTTGTTGATTGTATTATGAATTAATAGACTGCAAAACCAAATAAAAAACACTTTAATTAAATTTATTAACAACACATCACGGATGACCCAGTGATAACTCAAGGGACGCAATTTTAATAATCATAACAAAGGGACGTAACAATTACTAACAAGACAAAACCTAACATTTGCTTAGATATGCTTGTATATGGAGACACAAACTAGTTCTAGAAGAAGTAGATGATCGAAATAATTTAAAACCACAGAATAATGTATAAACTATACAGATTCTAGACTTAGCTTGAAATATAGAGCATCTAGATCTAGGCTAGTCTAGCTCAAGTCATTGGTTACGCAGCGAGGAAAACGACCCGAATCCTCAGCCCAGCTGCGATCACCCCCATTTGACCTCTCAGGTTGCTTTAGTAGCCTTAGCTATAGTATTTACAGTGTCCCACACATATGTAGAAGCTATTTATAGTTAACCTAATTATAAACAGCTTTGATTGGTTGGTTTTATTCGTCTCATCCCGGACCTAGTGCTTTCATCCGGGGGAACTGGGATCACCGGCTGACGTCATACCTCAACTTAAAAATTTAAAAACTTGTCTTCCAGAAAGGGAAAACAAAAGAACTTGACCTGGATATATTTAGAAATGGACATGCTTACAGCAGATACCGGTAGTTTCGTATAAAGCATCCAAACAAATATTATACGAAGCGAAAAACGGGAATGTGATCGCAATATGGCTTTGACCGCGTGAGGAAATCTACTCTAGATCTAGATCTAGAATATCTAGTACTAAGTAGTAGATCTACTTAGTAGGCTTTTTGATGAGAATTTTACAGAATGATTTTTTTTTTATTAAAAATGTATCAATAATAGCTAGAACACTAGTAAACTAAGCTAATTTAGCATATTTTAACTTTCTGTGCAAAGTCATTATTACTGAAAAAAATTCCAAAGTCAGGTCAGTCTGTGGCACCCTCCACTGAACTTGACAGAAGGAAAAAAAAACTTGACCCGTGACCTTCGGCTTCATTAAAACAGAATTTGCTTTTGTCTTTTTTTTTATTTTTAGTAAACATGTGCTTAATAAGTGATAAAAATTTGAAAATTAATCTTAATTAGAATAATTACTGTTGTAAAGTGTAAAGTGAGATAAACAGCTTAATAAACACGTGTTTTCTTGAGGGGGTGTGGCACATCGCAATTATAACTTAATATTTCTGTGTTTTATGACTATATTAGTATATTTGTGCAAAAACAGGATGCTATGCTTTTAAAATTGATAAATGGTAAGTATACCAAGTTACAAAACCTGCAATCTAACTAATAATTCATATTCATACTTTCGGTTTAAAAAATAATAAAAACGATCATCAATGAAGAAAGCATAAACATTCTATTTTTAGGTGTGACATAAAAAAACAGTCATAAATCTAGCCAAATGATTGGATTCCTGCGCAGCATACATTTTCCCGCGCCTCGTTTTCACTAAACAAGATTATAATAAAATGGCATTATTGGGGGTGATCGTTTTCCCACGCACATATCTCATTAACACAATAAATTATTACCAGTTAACTTTAATGTGTGTAAAATTAATACTTTAGAGCAGGGGTTCCCAACCTTTTTTTACTCTAGAGCACATGCTAAAATATCGGTAGGGTGGCGGGCACCACCTATTTTAAATTGACAAACTTATTCCATAAATTGTCATTTTCCCATAATTTATTTTCTTATTTTCCTATAGTCATAATGTATTAATAAATAATAAACAAAAATTTTTAAAAATAATAAAATTATTTGGCATTTTTTTCAAATTGCATACACACAGAGAAATGTATTTACAAAACGTAAAGAAAGTAAACAAAACACATAAATACAAAGAAAACATTTAATTATAAAATATATTAAAGTCAATGTGATCTTTGGCATTGCATTTCATTGGCCAGAGCTTCATAATTACGAGCGTATGACGATAATCCTGTTAGCAGACAATCATAAAGATGCTCATCGGTGAGTCGAGATCTATATCTTGAATTTATTAAGTTTATGTTTGAAAACAATGGTTCGCATATAAATATGTCGAACCGAAAAATGATTCAATTTTATATGCCGCTTTTTTCAACAATGGGAACTTTTCTCTATCCACTGTATTCCAAAAGTAAATAGTGCAGTCTGGCTCGCCGCTAGACAAGTTGGGACAAGTATCGAACATATTTAATAAACCTAGGCAGTAAAAAAAAAATCAAAGCTGTAATACATTAATAAAAATAAATCATATTATTAAATAATGTTTATGAAAAAAATTCTGTCTCTGTCGAATAGTGAGAGGCGGGCACATACGAATCGTTCAGCGGGCGCCATGGCGCCCGCGGGCACAGGGTTGGGAACCCCTACTTTAGAGTTTACATCTGACATAAGCTGGTTTGCGCCGGGAAGCGATATGTAAGAGTTATTTGATATAAAAGACAAGAATTCATAGAGCTATTTTCACTAACGTGTCGCTTGCGAGACAAACAAAGAAATTAGGTCAAAAGTACATCTGGGAATTCTTAAATAACAGACTGAAATAGAAACGGAAAGTTCCGATGTCTAAAATTAACGATGGCCTCGTAATTATTAGTTTTATCCCTCTACCGTTTAGTGAAAGCGAAACTGGTCGCCATTTTTAGTAAGCGCATGAGCCCCACCTATAAACTGTGTCCATAAGCTCCACGCAAAATGTGTGATTAATATGTGGACATAAGCGGCGCTAGTGGTGGTGACAGCAGGGGGGGGGCGACTGTTCCCCCCCCCCCCCCCCCCCCCCCCCAAGCTCAGCTCTTAAAGGTAATCCACACGTCATAAAAAATAAAATTGATGTTCAGATATCGTCGGACTCGGGCGTTTTGCCGACCGCCGTATTCCTAATGAGCCGTCTTAGAGGCTGTACACTTCTAACACTATATTGAACTCAAGCCTGTACTGAGCTCTGGCTTTACATTAGCTGCTGTCCTATTATGTCTTTATTGATTTAACCATTAATTGTTGTTAAATATTCGATTACCTTTAGTATTTTAGTACAATATGCAAAAATATATTCATATTTTAGCCTTATTCATTAGTTATCTTATCCCTACATTACTAGCGCCGGCTGAATTGATTACGCTAAAACGATAGATACCGAGTGTAGTAGTTAGTAACTTAGTAGATCTATTAGATCTAGTAATGTGAAAAAAAGGTGACTCGTTAAATTTTAATAATTCTTTCACAATTTGAGAAGGATTTAAATTTAGATCTAGGGGGTCTAGATTCTATGTTTTGAAACTTACAAATGTGTTTCAAAGCTTCATTCCTGTTTTTAAACAATTGTATTTCAGTAAGATATAAAGAATAGCGATGTTTTCATCAGATGCAGCTAACTTATTTAATATTTAATCAAGCCATTCTCTTCTACTCCTGCACCAACTTATCAAGCCATTCTCTTCTACTCCTGGGTATAGGCCGGGGACAAGCTGCCACAAGTGGACTTGTATGAGGGAGCGCCTGATAAAAAAGTCAACACCAAGGAGTTCAGTAACGGCAAATACGTCATCTTTGGTGTTCCCGGTGCCTTCACACCAACCTGCCATAATGTAAGTACAGCCATTTGTCACATAATGTTAGTACAGCCATTTGTCACATAATGTTAGTACAGCCATTTGTGTGTCACATAATGTTAGTACAGCCATTTGTGTGTCACATAATGTTAGTACAGCCATTTGTGTCACATAATGTTAGTACAGCCATTGTCACATAATGTTAGTACAGCCATTTGTCACATAATGTTAGTACAGCCATTTGTCACATAATGTAAGTACAGCCATTTGTGTGTCACATAATGTTAGTACAGCCATTGTCACATAATGTTAGTACAGCCATTTGTGTGTCACATAATGTTAGTACAGCCATTTGTGTGTCACATAATGTTAGTACAGCCATTGTCACATAATGTTAGTACAGCCATTTGTCACATAATGTTAGTACAGCCATTTGTGTGTCACATAATGTTAGTACAGCCATTGTCACATAATGTTAGTACAGCCATTGTCACATAATGTTAGTACAGCCATTTGTGTGTCACATAATGTTAGTACAGCCATTTGTGTGTCACATAATGTTAGTACAGCCATTTGTGTCACATAATGTTAGTACAGCCATTGTCACATAATGTTAGTACAGCCATTTGTGTCACATAATGTTAGTACAGCCATTTGTGTCACATAATGTTAGTACAGCCATTTGTCACATAATGTTAGTACAGCCATTGTCACATAATGTTAGTACAGCCATTTGTCACATAATGTTAGTACAGCCATTTGTGTCACATAATGTTAGTACAGCCATTTGTCACATAATGTTAGTACAGCCATTTGTCACATAATGTTAGTACAGCCATTTGTCACATAATGTTAGTACAACCATTTGTCACATAATGTTAGTACAGCCATTTGTGTCACATAATGTTAGTACAGCCATTTGTCACATAATGTTAGTACAGCCATTTGTCACATAATGTTACTACAGCCATTTGTCACATAATGTTAGTACAGCCATTTGTGTCACATAATGTTAGTACAGCCATTTGTCACATAATGTTAGTACAGCCATTTGTCACATAATGTTAGTACAGCCATTTGTCACATAATGTTAGTACAGCCATTTGTGTGTCACATAATGTTAGTACAGCCATTTGTGTCACATAATGTTAGTACAGCCATTTGTGTGTCACATAATGTTAGTACAGCCATTTGTGTCACATAATGTTAGTACAGCCATTTGTGTGTCACATAATGTTAGTACAGCCATTTGTCACATAATGTTAGTACAGCCATTTGTGTGTCACATAATGTTAGTACAGCCATTTGTCACATAATGTTAGTACAGCCATTTGTGTGTCACATAATGTTAGTACAGCCATTTGTCACATAATGTTAGTACAGCCATTGTCACATAATGTTAGTACAGCCATTTGTCACATAATGTTAGTACAGCCATTTGTGTCACATAATGTTAGTACAGCCATTTGTCACATAATGTTAGTACAGCCATTTGTCACATAATGTTAGTACAGCCATTTGTCACATAATGTTAGTACAGCCATTTGTCACATAATGTTAGTACAGCCATTTGTGTCACATAATGTTAGTACAGCCATTTGTCACATAATGTTAGTACAGCCATTTGTCACATAATGTTAGTACAGCCATTTGTCACATAATGTTAGTACAGCCATTTGTGTCACATAATGTTAGTACAGCCATTTGTGTCACATAATGTTAGTACAGCCATTTGTCACATAATGTTAGTACAGCCATTTGTCACATAATGTTAGTACAGCCATTTGTGTGTCACATAATGTTAGTACAGCCATTTGTCACATAATGTTAGTACAGCCATTTGTGTGTCACATAATGTTAGTACAGCCATTGTCACATAATGTTAGTACAGCCATTTGTGTGTCACATAATGTTAGTACAGCCATTTGTGTGTCACATAATGTTAGTACAGCCATTTGTGTGTCACATAATGTTAGTACAGCCATTGTCACATAATGTTAGTACAGCCATTTGTGTGTCACATAATGTTAGTACAGCCATTTGTGTGTCACATAATGTTAGTACAGCCATTGTCACATAATGTTAGTACAGCCATTTGTCACATAATGTTAGTACAGCCATTTGTGTGTCACATAATGTTAGTACAGCCATTTGTGTCACATAATGTTAGTACAGCCATTTGTCACATAATGTTAGTACAGCCATTTGTCACATAATGTTAGTACAGCCATTTGTGTGTCACATAATGTTAGTACAGCCATTTGTCACATAATGTTAGTACAGCCATTTGTCACATAATGTTAGTACAGCCATTTGTGTGTCACATAATGTTAGTACAGCCATTTGTGTCACATAATGTTAGTACAGCCATTTGTGTGTCACATAATGTTAGTACAGCCATTTGTGTCACATAATGTTAGTACAGCCATTTGTGTGTCACATAATGTTAGTACAGCCATTTGTCACATAATGTTAGTACAGCCATTTGTGTGTCACATAATGTTAGTACAGCCATTTGTCACATAATGTTAGTACAGCCATTGTCACATAATGTTAGTACAGCCATTTGTCACATAATGTTAGTACAGCCATTTGTGTCACATAATGTTAGTACAGCCATTTGTCACATAATGTTAGTACAGCCATTTGTCACATAATGTTAGTACAGCCATTTGTCACATAATGTTAGTACAGCCATTTGTCACATAATGTTAGTACAGCCATTTGTGTCACATAATGTTAGTACAGCCATTTGTCACATAATGTTAGTACAGCCATTTGTCACATAATGTTAGTACAGCCATTTGTCACATAATGTTAGTACAGCCATTTGTGTCACATAATGTTAGTACAGCCATTTGTGTCACATAATGTTAGTACAGCCATTTGTCACATAATGTTAGTACAGCCATTTGTCACATAATGTTAGTACAGCCATTTGTGTGTCACATAATGTTAGTACAGCCATTTGTCACATAATGTTAGTACAGCCATTTGTGTGTCACATAATGTTAGTACAGCCATTGTCACATAATGTTAGTACAGCCATTTGTGTGTCACATAATGTTAGTACAGCCATTTGTGTGTCACATAATGTTAGTACAGCCATTTGTGTGTCACATAATGTTAGTACAGCCATTGTCACATAATGTTAGTACAGCCATTTGTGTGTCACATAATGTTAGTACAGCCATTTGTGTGTCACATAATGTTAGTACAGCCATTGTCACATAATGTTAGTACAGCCATTTGTCACATAATGTTAGTACAGCCATTTGTGTGTCACATAATGTTAGTACAGCCATTTGTGTCACATAATGTTAGTACAGCCATTTGTCACATAATGTTAGTACAGCCATTTGTCACATAATGTTAGTACAGCCATTTGTGTGTCACATAATGTTAGTACAGCCATTTGTCACATAATGTTAGTACAGCCATTTGTGTGTCACATAATGTTAGTACAGCCATTGTCACATAATGTTAGTACAGCCATTTGTCACATAATGTTAGTACAGCCATTGTCACATAATGTTAGTACAGCCATTTGTGTGTCACATAATGTTAGTACAGCCATTTGTGTGTCACATAATGTTAGTACAGCCATTTGTGTGTCACATAATGTTAGTACAGCCATTTGTCACATAATGTTAGTACAGCCATTTGTGTGTCACATAATGTTAGTACAGCCATTTGTCACATAATGTTAGTACAGCCATTTGTGTGTCACATAATGTTAGTACAGCCATTGTCACATAATGTTAGTACAGCCATTTGTCACATAATGTTAGTACAGCCATTGTCACATAATGTTAGTACAGCCATTTGTGTGTCACATATTGTTAGTACAGCCATTTGTGTGTCACATAATGTTAGTACAGCCATTTGTGTGTCACATAATGTTAGTACAGCCATTTGTCACATAATGTTAGTACAGCCATTTGTCACATAATGTTAGTACAGCCATTTGTCACATAATGTTAGTACAGCCATTTGTGTGTCACATAATGTTAGTACAGCCATTTGTGTGTCACATAATGTTAGTACAGCCATTGTCACATAATGTTAGTACAGCCATTTGTCACATAATGTTAGTACAGCCATTTGTCACATAATGTTAGTACAGCCATTTGTCACATAATGTTAGTACAGCCATTTGTGTGTCACATAATGTAAGTACAGCCATTTGTCACATAATGTTAGTACAGCCATTTGTGTCACATAATGTTAGTACAGCCATTTGTCACATAATGTTAGTACAGCCATTTGTGTGTCACATAATGTTAGTACAGCCATTGTCACATAATGTTAGTACAGCCATTTGTCACATAATGTTAGTACAGCCATTTGTGTGTCACATAATGTTAGTACAGCCATTTGTGTGTCACATAATGTAAGTACAGCCATTTGTCACATAATGTTAGTACAGCCATTTGTGTCACATAATGTTAGTACAGCCATTTGTCACATAATGTTAGTACAGCCATTTGTGTGTCACATAATGTTAGTACAGCCATTGTCACATAATGTTAGTACAGCCATTTGTCACATAATGTTAGTACAGCCATTTGTGTGTCACATAATGTTAGTACAGCCATTTGTGTGTCACATAATGTTAGTACAGCCATTTGTGTGTCACATAATGTTAGTACAGCCATTGTCACATAATGTTAGTACAGCCATTTGTCACATAATGTTAGTACAGCCATTTGTGTGTCACATAATGTTAGTACAGCCATTGTCACATAATGTTAGTACAGCCATTTGTCACATAATGTTAGTACAGCCATTTGTCACATAATGTTAGTACAGCCATTTGTCACATAATGTTAGTACAGCCATTTGTGTGTCACATAATGTAAGTACAGCCATTTGTCACATAATGTTAGTACAGCCATTTGTGTCACATAATGTTAGTACAGCCATTTGTCACATAAAGTTAGTACAGCCATTTGTGTGTCACATAATGTTAGTACAGCCATTGTCACATAATGTTAGTACAGCCATTTGTCACATAATGTTAGTACAGCCATTTG